GGACCTAACCTATTCCACGGGGATGTATTCTAATTGCGGTTGGAGGCCGGGGGACTGGAGTCGCCGTCAAAAAATTAGGACGTTATTTTTGAACGGTGCCACGCGGTTATCATGATCAGCATGTTTCGATCACGGCTTGTCTTGATGACCATAAAGAAATATTTACACGTTGGAGCGTTCCCCACACGGTGTTCAGCTCGATGCCATCGTTGTGACATTTCCTTCTGCGCCATATCATTTGGAGCTTGGGCATTTGCCGTTATCTTTGCGTGGATCGTGGCTCGTTATAGCTTCACCTTACACGAATATTTTGTCTTGGAGTGAACTGAACATTGCCGCAGGATACATTCCAGAATGGACAACGATGTAAGCTTATTTGTGAAAGTACCGGACACGTGATTGACCCGATGTTGTTCAGTTGTTCGTGTTTTAGAGTCGGCATGAATCTCTGGTCAAGTCTTTCATCTATCCCATGGGTACACTGACAAAGCCGGAAGTTAATCTGTCTCGCGCGTTCCAGTTGGCGGGGAATGAAAACCACGAACGTGAGTAAACTTGTCAGAATATTGGTTCAGTGTTCGTTGACGGCGACAAACTGTATGCAATTAGTTAGCTTAGTTGGCTACAGTCACCGACGCACCCATGGTCTTCCTTCACTTGCTTGCATACCCCTGATCCCGTCGTCCGATTCTGATGATTCAAAGTTTCAAACACTAACATTTAAAGCACAGTTTATACTTTCTGGCCACGGTACTATCGATTCGCCACTTCAATCAGTCAACCGGTAAGTATGGGTGGTTTGGATCTTGAACTGCTGTCATTTTCGAGTCCTGCTTTGACGTCGCATGACTGGTTTAGGGATAAGTCTAAACTGCCAGAATGTAGAGAAAATATCGCTCTGCTGATCAGAAGAGATCTCCACCTGAAAATTTCTCGCGAATATTTTCCGTATGAGTTCTGCAGCCTACTTTTTCCAAGATATCAGAAAGCATTTTTCATCTTGCTATTTGAGGAATATACACCTTTTCTGAAAGAGCAATCTTTTTCCTATTGAGTGATGCTCATTTCACAGAAACTGGATAAGAACAAAGAAGGTTATTCGAGGCGAAGCTGTTTCGCCCATAAGATGCGTTGCAAAGTGGGCTGTAGAACCTATCAGAAAATTTTTGTTAGAAATTTTTGGGTGGAGATCGCTTTTGGTGCGGTCAGTAGAGTAATGTCTTCGCTACATTGTGGCCGCTTGGACTTGTCCCTAAACCAGTCATGTGACGCGGGAGCAGGACACGAAAATGACCCTCATTTCTTGGTCCAAACCACCCATACTTACCGGTTGACTGATTGAAGTGGCGAATCGATAGTACCGTGGCCAGAAAGTATAAACTGTGCTTTAAATGTTAGTGTTTGAAACTTTGAATCATCAAAATCGGACGATGGGATCCGAAGACACAAGTATGTGAATGATGGCTGTGGGGTGACGCTGACCCATGACAGTGACTGTTTACTGTATCCGGTTCACAGATCTCCCGCCAGATTCTTCAAGTCAGCGGATACAAAATAAGGATCTGACATTCAAAGATCTTCCAGTTCCTGTCTTTCATCGACGAGGATCCATTTTAGTGCCGGGTGGCGTACAGAGCGCGGAATATATTTCGCGATCCACGACCATGGAGGAAGGAAGACCTCAAGCCGATCAGGGGCGAAGACTGCGCGACTATTTCTCAGCGCTTGCTCCGAGCAATTGGTTCGGACCCAAACAAAATTAAGGTCTCTTGGCTGGACTGAGATATTTGATATGTTGTTGATCTGAGCTAAAACATGTGATGACGAACTATTTTTGTTTCTGCGGCGGCGTACGGGTGCCCACGCACTCCTTCTGGCTCCGTACAGAAGCGCGGGCCCTGTAAACATATCAGTCAAATTGTTAAAGCTGCCGATGTTTCATCTCGGAACATAAACAACCTAAAAAAATTTGCATCAAGGCCTTACATTTCTAAATGCAATCAGTACTCATGAGGGTCATGAAACTATTGAAGTCCGAACCCGAAGTCGCGCATTATGCCGACTACAACGGAACAAAACATGCCTCTTTCGATAACGAAGTAGCAACGTGTATGGATGCTTCGCGATGTGAGCTCTACAGCGCACGATTAGCACATCATAGTTCCGTTGTATGATGCGTCAGCTGGAAGATGAAAGACAGAGAGTTTCCAGCGAAATTCGAAGTCGAAACAGCGTGCGAGGACTGACATAAGCTGACGCATGGTGCAATCTTCACACGTCGGGTTCTTCCCAAAGAGGTGTCTCGTTTTACATCCGCGCGGTGCTTGACAGCTCGTTCTTCGCTAATCCTACTGTGCAGTACGTTTCAGGGACCAATGAGCATCCGGCAGGACCGCTTAAAAGTTCTCTTATGTAATTACCGTGAAAGCGTTTCGAACTCTAGATTTGAAGATGGCTTCTCGCAACCCTGCGCTGATCGAAAGCTATTCTGGGATCCTCAAACGTGCAAAACGGCAGTGTAGAGTTATTCTCCATACGTATCAGCCCGCGGCAGTCTGCTTTTCTTTTTCGCCGCATCAACATTTCTTGTCAGCACAGCTTCTTGTCTGCACGCGCTAATCTACGGGATACCAGTGATTGGAGTGATAAAGAACATCCTACTTTCCCAAAGAAACTACTTCCTTGTTGACTACTATTGTCTCAAAGAAGTGTACGAAATGTCTCACGGAGGCGACCGGTTTGATGTAAGTCTCCTCATGCGAAGTTTCTTTACAGGACGAGATACGAATATTTCTTTCTTGAACAGGACCGCTATGATCCTCGGCCACCCATGGAGAGGGGGGATCTTCGGGATCGTAGACACGACGGACCATACTCGGGACATAACATTACTCACGCACCTCCAAGTAAGTGTGGCAAATGAACGTGGATAGTACATTGGTGCGGCCAAGAGGGAGTACCAGGGCTCGGCAGTGGAGTGGCACCGTGGCAAAACGACTGCCAAGTGGCCACAGCTGAACCTCAGCAGCCACTCCTTCAAATCTTTTCGTTTTTCCTTCATCGATAGATAATCATGTTAACTTACTTGTCAGACATTAGGAAGGCGAAACAAGGCTTGAAACGTTGAGCAGTGATCTGCGGGAGGAGGCAGAGTCTTCCCAAGGTTAAAACGCCTGTTTTGACCAAATCAGCTGATTTTGATCAGTCAATCAACCACCCATTCGGTGCTTGGACTTTCGTAGTGTGGCCACCTCGACGACTAAATTCTGCGGTGGCCACACTGCCGCCTCCTCGTACCTGTATTTTGACGTACCGTCTGCTCGACATCGCATTTGCAAAAGTTACGGTATGGGACCATACCACCGTAGTAGACATGGTCGTCGCACAATTGGGAGGCCGGCAAAACAGCCTCGAGATGACTGTTATCTCAAGTGGTGCATGTGCTTATTCAGTAGGCAGGAAAAATGCGCCACTCGAAATATCCATCACCCCGATATTGTTTACTGGTCTCCCAATTGAAAATCTATTTCACAACGCTCGTCTTTTTCCGATGGTTTTCAACGCTTTTCTACTCTATCAGAATCCCGTAACTCGCACACCGGTGCTACTCGGCGGGTCTGGGATAGATCGGAAGATCATGTGTTTCCCGAGATCCGACAGAAGGGTCGAGCACCCCTTTCTTGCACCCTCCAGCCATGTCTTCGATTTCAGTCTCATAATTACATTGACGTCATTGTGCCCCAGAAGTCACGTTTCAATTTCAAAGTCACTGCGATAACTCGCTGACCTCGCTGGAATCCCATGTTAGGCATGTCAGAGGCGAATATCAAACTAACTCACCACGCGCGAGAGTTAGAATCCAACAGATCGAATGTACGTGTGCGCCTATAACTGCTTCGACGTTGTGTAAAACTGTTACCAACTTCACCGAATTAGGACTGAATTCACTAAATAGTTTTGAGCAGTTTACGTTCGAACTGAACTTGTCTTTGTTGTTACAGCCCGCGCGCACGAATATCCAGGTCCTGGAGACATCCACCCAGCTCACAACGAGAGCGAGGAATCTCATCGTCACCGCGGTACCCATGGTGGGTCCTTCATGTACCCTGGAGGACAGTACGCTCGACGAGAAAGTGAATTAGTCAAGTTCGTCAAGGGCGACCACACCGGCCACGAACACAACCACCGGGGCTCATTCGGCGGTTCCTTTATGTATCCAGGTGGCGCCTACAGACGCCGTGGTTCCAGCATATCCGAGTGGTTCGGCTATCATCCCGGTCAACCCCAGAGCCAACCGGAACCTCGTCGTGCCCGCGGTGGTTCCTTCCTCTTCCCTGGTCGTCGCAACAGCAGTGAAGCCGGCAGAGGACACCAAGGAGAACGAAGAGACTCGGGACCGAAACCCAGTGGACGGAGAGGCTCGTTTCTGTATCCAGGTGGCGCTCCAATAAGACGAGAAAGTCAGAGCTTCGTGGATTATATCTCCGGCTTCATCCCCGCTGGAGTTAGTGGATGGTTTACCGGACAGAGAGGCAACGAAGGTCCTCGCCATTGAATTAGGCATTTACAGTGATGTTCCCGTTAGTTTACTTGAGTTCTGCAGGGTTCAGTTCTGGGGACTGACTTGTACTTTACGAGCCTTGGTGACGAGCAATATCGACGTTGTCCGCGAGCAGCCGAATACAAATTTGCTATATTTCACAGTTTATACATGTTCCCTTGATGACTCTCCTTTTGTTTGTTGCCAGATGGTGTTTGCAGATTTAAATTTTAATATTTAGAAGTAAAGAAATGTTTTTGTGTTGTACTGTGCACTATAATTGCGAATTCTTATCTCCCTAAGTTATGTGATATGCAATGGTTTTTGAACTTAATAAAACGCGCCATGTAGCGTGGGCCGAAATTCCTGCAGCCAGACAACAAAACGGAAGGTTCGTTCCAAAAATCCGATATTCCAAACCGGAAGCATGCATGCGAGTGACTGCGACGCAGGGCTAAAAAGAAGCCGGCAACACCCGGTGTTCCCAAGCGGTCGCCCATCTAAATACTAACCGGGCCCGACGTAGCTTATCTTCCGAGATCGAACGGGATCGGGAGCATTCTACGTGGTATGGTCGCAGGCAACAGCGGCACCATCTTTCTGCTCCCATATGATCGACCTACCCGCTCTGAGTTTACCGTCTACATGTACAGCCTGGTTCTCCCACAGTCTGGGGAGATCGCCAAACGCTACTACAAGGCACCAGTACAAAAGCAGGTGGGTCCTTCGTGTTCGAAACACACATAGGACTTGCCTACCTCTGTTTAGCGATCCTGCAAATATCGGCTGGTCAAGAACCCAGATCAGACCACGCACGACAACTGTCTTCGCATTCGACAATGCTAGACAGTGAAAACTACACGCCATCAGGTACATAGACTAGTCCGGGTGGTGCGTTTCTGCAAACCAGAAAAACAACCTCGCAGCAGTAACTTCGTGAATATGCATGAAACCTTCGCGAGCTCTGTGCGTGTGCGTATGTTTGGCCATGTGGCTCATAGATTAGTTCACGAGTTGAAACTCGAAAATTCAGAGAAGTCGTACGAAATGTGGTTGTGGTAGCAGATTGCCTTGTGTGCAGTCTGCGCAGAATGCCGGGCGGTATGAATCACAACTAAGACATGGTTTTATGGTCCTTGGTGATTTATTCTTCTTTTGATGGTTGTCTGCCAAAAGTGCCTCGAAGATGGCTGCGAGTATAACTCGTTGGCCATTCAGTCAATTAAAGAACCCATGTTTGACAAAGTATTAGCTGTTTATTCTTCCTTTATGCTCAAGCTGTGTGTTGTGTACAGTGCGTAGACTGCAAAAGTCAAATTGTGCACTCTCAGGCTCAGCTATAATGCTTCTCGCTGTACACGCGCGACGAGATATTATGGACCAGTAAAACTTACGGGCCAGGCGGAAAAGACGGCAAATTTACAATTTGTGTTCAAGTGAGAAACAGAAATCGGACAAATGACGTAACGTAGTGAAATTCAACCGTAGAAAATTGTCATGGACAATGGCCACCAGCTGATCAGCTGTTTTACTCTAACGCTTCAACGCTGCTGTCGACTTCCTCCCGGAGAAGCCTTGGATTAGCCTGAACTGTTGAAGGTATGCGTGTTCCGGTAAATTAGAGATCTAAATGTTACAACAAAAAGATCTAACTGCTATAGCAAAATAACATGACAAGCTTTAGCTCTTCGGCCCAGTATCCCGCACGCACGTACAGCAGTGCAGCCTTCGATGCTGTTTTTACTTGTAGCAAGAATCACCTGCCCGTGCCGCCGTAGCGAAAAGGCCTGGCCCGTAATTTTTACTGGCCCATAATATCTGGTCTTGCGTGTACGTGAAACTGGTGTACTTAGCCAGTGTACGCGCATATGCAATGATCCTGTTACACTGTATATTCTTTTTTCGGTAACGCCTTTATGACTTTCAAACAAACGTCGGCATTGTTGTCGGCAGAAGTTTCAAGTATCTATTTTGCCGGTTCACCAACAAAGCTGCGCATATTTACCCCGCGTATATGTGTGAATGGAACTTTCTCGTTGAATCTAGTATCTCTGATATGCAACAGCGAACAACGATGGCATTTGAGGAAAATATGTGACGGATCATACTGGAATACCGTCACACATTTCTGAGCATTTTCATTTAGCTTCTCTCCCATTTCACAAGCACGAAACCGGATCGTCAAGGATTACTGCTATTTATGCCGATATTATTATCATGATCTATTGAAAGTTCCAGCCGTAAAACGAACATCAACAATGCCGGCAGGTAAATCTATCAAGCTGATAACAGACTACCTTTGTCTACTCGAAAGAGAACACTTCCGATATTGTGTCCGATCGGCGATCGGAAAAGTGCTCGATCGAGCGGTGCACTGGAGTACTTCATTTTGAAAGTGACCGTGACAGACCGAGTACGTTCTTCCAGTACTTCAGCTGTAAGGCAAAAACGGCTGAGAGTAAGCTTAAAATTCATATCGAAAATTCCCGACTTTTATGTGTATATATAGTAGTTTCAAGTTTTCTTGTACCAAGCTGTACCGGAAAAGAGTTCTTGAATATTATAGGAAACCCATTGAAGACGTCGGTGCATGAATTCGCCCAGATCGTTTGCCACGTGGCGCACGCTCTCAGCTAATTCCAACACATTCGTACGCCACTTGGTACAACGATCTGGGGAGATCTTCTGTCGACGTCCAATTTGGCAAGTCTTCGGGTTTGACCTACGACTAATGGGTTCCGGTACGATTACCATCTATTTCAAGGATGAATCTGACAAGCGTTGTCGTCTTGCTCCAGCAGTAAACTGATGTACAGTAGAACGAACCCAGCACAATTTCACGACTGCAAGTTTTTCTAATTTTCGGATTAGTACTGACAGGAAGTAACCCGCGGCGAAGAACGAGCTCAAACCACACCGCCAGCCAACTGTCACAAAATTGTTTCCTTGAGGTTTGGGGCTAATTTTTTTCGAAGTCTTCGGATGGGCATGTCGACGCGTATGTTTACTCGAAGTCTGCTCGAGTGAAAAAACAGAAGAGGACGACTGGCTGAGCTGCACCGCCCAGATAGCGACCTAGTACTGAGATAGTACTTATTAAAAGATTAGCGGGTGCTACTTATAAGCTTTTGACACTAGCTTGACTCAACAGCGGTCGAAAGATGTCCATTTTGTCAGCGACCCATCCAACCTGCTCTCTTGTGCGGAGTACTTGGTGAAGTCTGCAGCCGAGCATCGTCCTTATCATCCACGCGCTCTACTTGTCGCAATCAAGCTGCTTACCAGCTAACCGTGGAATCTCTTCACACGTCACCGTACTGCTCCGGTGGCGCCCATTTTCCGCAGTCGCTCATTATTTCTATGTTCGCTCCCCCATTAAGAATGTCGAAGAGGGCGTTATCTGCCGTTTCCAGTTGTTCATAATTTAGATGCCACTCTCTACCTCTCTAAAGTCATCCCAAAAATATTTGAACTAATAAACAAAATATCTGAGTTTCAGTGCCCACCATGGAGTGCAAGTAGACCATGAACCATGAATAGAAAACTTTTGGAATGCAAAAAGAGTTCTGACCAAATTTCAAAACTCGAAACATCGACCTCCACGTCGCGGACAGTTATACTTATCCACCGCGCCATCATAGTATTCGGCAGTGACGTCATGGAAAACTGATTTCATCCGCTGCTTGATTCAGTTTTCAAGAAGAGCCCTACGACGTCGATGTATGTGCGATTGATTGGCGCGATTGTGTTGATTGACGCTAGTACAGCCGAGCGGCAAAGGCCGCAAAGTAAAGTTGTTACCGCCACTTCCGAGTTCCGATTCAAAAAGCGTTCTCTCTAACGAACCTCATGAATGATGGAACAATCTGTCTTACACTCTAAACGGTCTACTTTGATGCCCAGATCAAGTTAGCCATTCTATTCAGCTTTCGGGCGGCTTCATTGGCGTCAGTTATGGACAAGTGGTCAAGGCGCATAATATTCGATTTTAACAGGCAGATCACCGTGCGCGATCAAACTGTCATGGCTGTACTGTACAGTGTGGCCCGTAGAGATTGCTGTCGTTCGTCTGGTGTTTGCCAGGCTTACATTGAACCATACTATTGAAGCTAGTGTACCATGGTGTGGTTTCTATTTTACAGTTGGAAGCCAGATGTTGAGTGATGTCAGCTCGGGCATTCGTCGTTACTCGCTCGCCTCCTCTTCATCAGCGGCGACGTCGGAAAGCGTCAACACTACCAGCCCCTCTTCCCGCAGTGCGTCTTCGTGGATTACTCCACTTCCGCACCACCACGGATATCAACGGGAAATCACTTCCGAGTCTGTCCCCGGAAACCCCGAAGATTCGCAGCAACAGGGCGGAAATGGAAAAGAGTCTAATAAGGTGAGCAGTAAGCAAACTTCCCCATCACTTTGCGCAGAGTACCGACCTCCTTTTAGCACGGGTCGTCCTTCTGTTCGCCCGCAGTATCGTGGTAAAAAAGAACTTTGTGGATCACTTCGTTCAGAAAAAGGATGAATGCTCACACTGGTGGCGCAAGTTTCTATTGTTGCTAGCTGGAAGCGTGCGCCTCTTGTGATAGCAATCGTCCTGAGATTTTTTGCCGGTTTCCCATTTCTGAATTTGCCGGTTTCCCATTTCTGAATTTGCCGAATGCTACTCGATTGATTTGTTGGAAAGGGGAAACTTTGGATGTTTTTTGTTACCGCAGTTTTGGTCTTTGAAGTCGAGGAACCTGTAAGGAAGTATGGAGGAAGGGCCGTGTTGAGTGAACGGGTTATTCTTATCCTCTGTTATCTGTCAATGTCTTGATTGTTTATTTTTGTCTTTCACAGATGAAAGTGGATACAGTTGGCAGACAAAATATGTATTTAAAGGGCGTCGAAGGTGTTGTTGAAGGGGCAGCAGTGTCAGTAGCTGGGTTGGAGAATGGTCGTTCGTCCACGGCATTTGCTGCTGCTGTTAATACCCCATTTATCGATGATAAGATAACAATGCTTGAGAAAGTGGCCGGGACACAAGGAATCTGGTTCTTGGCGGGGCTTGACCGGCAGACAGCCGAAGTCTATTTGAAGCCAGCTGGGTTGGGAGTCTTCATCATCCGACCATCCAGTTTAGCCGGCACTCTGGCCTTATCAGTCAATATTCCATCGTCGCAACACTTTATGGAATTTGACCAACACAAGAGCCATCCTTGTCAACGCGTCGAACACTATCTCATCGAACACAAAAGCGGGAAATTGAGCCTGGAAGGCTCAGCTGTCCACTTCCCCTCGCTTCCTGCTCTCGTCGAGTATTATTCGCATAACAGGTTTGTGATTGTTTAGAACCGATCATATTACACCATTGTACTCCTTGCTAATGGGCTATGCATTACTTCACGGGTAAACAACGCGCGGGGAACACAATGGAATAAAATACCGGAATATCTGCATAAATTTCACCTCAAATCAACATTCCGGGAGAACCTCCACCATACAACTTTTAGATTATTAACGCTAATCTATCCATTAACATATACAAAATCTTCAGTTTAAAACATCAGATTTTCGCTGTTACCTCTGGAGAAATTGGATG